TCAGTGAACTAATTAATTCATAATTTTTGGAAAACAAGCCAAAATGTTCACCGTAAAAGATATACACCCCTCCCCCCTATATAATGTACGTAGGAAATCGCTTACCATTAAACCCCACCCAGCATAGATTCCTGACATGTAGAGTTTGCAGCCATTGCCTTCTTCGCCTCAACCTTTGTCTTTCGCGACTTCTCCTCTTCTGCCGTCAGCTTCTTCTTCTTGTTCTTGTTCTTGCTTTTCTTTTGATTTTTTTTCTTTCCTTTCTTTTGCTTCTTATCATCACCCTCATCGTTGTTCTTGCCTTTCTTCTTGTCCTGCACAGGGTTCTACAAACATGTGAGAAAGTATGTATTTCGGATTAGGGGCGTAGAATCTAGGACATGGATGGACCCAATGGCCTTGGCAATTTTCTTGCTATCATCCGCGTCATCATCACCATCATCGTCATCATCATTATCGCTCGCGTCATTTGCCGCTTGTCCAATCTGCGCAGTGTCCGAGAGCTGGAAGACATCATCGAGGGAAATTGTGTTTTCATCAATCACCTCATCGTCGACCAAAATCAGGTATTGCCGCAAACCTCAGCAGTCAAACAATCAGAATCAGAACACTTGAACCTCTAAAAAATGCAAAGCACTTTTTGAAGCCAAATGGCTTGGAACTTCCGGGTGCCGTCTCACCTCACTCTTTCGCAGGGTCTTGTCCTTCATTTTGCGGTCGATTATTGCTGCAACCAGCTTGGGGTCTTTAAAGTGCACCAGCATCTGGCGACGTGTCAGCCACTTCCTGCATCCTCTTCGTTGGTTCTTCTTGCTGCTTGTGATCGTGCGAAACAGCGTAGATTTTTCCCACGACCCGCTGCAAGCGATAAAGTCTTCATACATGGTTTGCATGGCACCCTTTCCTTAGGTTGATACGAGCACCAAACCATTGTGGAGTTTGCCACGTTTGCCCAGCATACAACAAAACAAACCTGTAAGGCGCAGACGGAACTTGTTCTGCCTGAAAGCCTTTCTGATCTCATCTGGCGTCTGCCGACCTAGAATTCTATGTGTACAAGAGCACAGACAAACTAAGCAGCAACATGGCAGAAACATAATACACACGTACATGCCAAATTCAGATTACGAAGTGCTCAGCAAACCTAAGGCAATGGCTTTTCGTCACACTTCGCCAGAATCTCATGTAAAGCTTGTGTGCTTCCTTCTTGACTGCTTTAGGGTCACCTGCTTCTGACGCCTCCTGATCATCATCCTCTTCGGGCGGGTTTGCTGCAACTGCTGGCTGCTTTTTACTGGATGGGCTTGCCTTCGGGGTGGAGCTGGCTTCGGACTTAGCCTTTGCTGTGGCCTTTGCTGCGGCTTTTGCCTTAGCCTTTACTTTGGGGCTCTGAACCTTCTTTATGGTCTTCTCAGGGCTTGCCTTCGGGGTGGAGCTGGCTTTGGACTTAGCCTTTGCTGCGGTCTTTGCTTTTGGTTTGGGCACATGTTCAGGCTCAGCACCAGGCATAGGGTCAGTGGAACTTCGTGCCGTGTCATGGTCCTTCATCTCATAAGCCGCTTGCTTTTTGTCTGCAGCTGCTTTTGCTTTATCTTCTTTCGTAAGCTTTTTTGGCTTGAGCTTAGCCGCTGGGCTACTCAAGTCTATCAGCTTCCGCTTCGAGGTTGCACCTTTCTCATTTGTGTTTGTCTTTGCAAGCTCTTCTATGTTTGCTGCTGCTTTTGCTTTGCACTTCTCATGCTCTGCTTGCAGCTCGTTCTGCAGGGCCTTGGCCTTGTTTTTTCTTTCACTCCAAGACTCTTGGTCCACCGTGGCTGCGCGCTGCAAGGCTGCTTGCACTTGCTGTGGTATATGCAGAGTTTTCCCTGTTACCCTTGTTGGAGTCTCAGAGACAAGTGTTTCCTGGGTGTCAGCATGACGTGGCTTCACTGGCTTTGCCTTTTTCTCATCATCACCCGAGCACAAGCTCATCTGAGAGTCTGCTCTCCTTGGCTGGCTTGGCGGGGTGGGGGTGACACTGGCTGCAATTTTCTGCTTTGGCGGCGGGATATCCATCGGGGGCGGAAACGGATTTTGAGAATCCTCTTTGCTGCTGTCATAGCCATTGGAAGAGACATTGGACCTCAGAAGGAATATGCACATTACATTAAAAAATGTATACCTTGATTGCAACATGGAAGGAACAACCTAGGCCCCAACAAAGTAGTTGACGATCTTCGCGGGGTCTCGTCACTTGCTTTCTCAGCCCTAGTGGCCCTTTCCCGGGCCTTTCTTTGAATCTCCGCAATAAGATCCGCCATGCGCACTACCCTATCAATGTCTTGAACAAAACACCCCTTCAGCAAGAAAGGTGATGTGTCGCACAAAAACTCGAACTCGAAATCAACGGTTGTGGGGGGGTCAAAGTTTCACAGTTTTTTGGTGTCTTATCACAGTGTTTCACGGGCTTTTCACGGGGATTTCACGCACTTCTCACGCACACAGGGTTTTGCACTTTTTTGCAAACATTGCAGACGTGCGTGCAGAAAACGCATCTGTGCAATGAATTTCCTTTTGGCTAGCATTGCTGCCTGCATGGGAACTAAAAGCCCAGCTGTCTAGATATATGAAACACACATTCCAAAGCTTGTCTTACGACAGGTGTTGAATTTAGCTGTTTGGTATGCTGCTTGGAACCGACAACACTATGATCCTATTAATCAAACAGGCCAGGCTCAAAAGCAGGCTGGTACCTTCCAGCCTTAAATTCAGCAATCAGAAATTGCCTGACCGGCTCCAGATTCGCATGTTTCCAGTCGAAGGGCGCCTTTCGAGCAGTCTTCTCCTGACAGAGCACGTTTTGAAACATGGTTGCCCCAAAGCCACTCTCCCTATATACCCCAGGTGTGTTTTCTGATGTTAGTACCTGAAAGTTGTTTAAGATCTTTCTGGTATATTATAGGGCTTAAGTCTAGGGCACCCATCAACGGTGGAGATAAATATTCCCCAGATAGCATATGCTGAAATCCACAACTAGGCTTTTGACTGAGCCTGCTAAATTTATTCTTTTTAATACTGTTGATACATGTTTGCCTAGAAAACCTTTAGATTTTCCCTTGTACTCATTAGTACATTTAATGGGTACAAAGGAAAATTTAAAGGTATTCTAGGCAAGCGTGTATCAGCTGTATTTACAAGAATAAATTTCGGAGGCTCTGTCAAAAGCCCAGTTGTGGATTTCATCATATGCTATCTGGGGAATATCTAATATTAGGTTTATGTATCCTCTGGGGATATATCAGGCCCAGCCTGAATGATGCCACGGACAGCAGCTTTCAGGTTGTTCTCCCCATTCACCTGAGATAAGGCATTTGCGGAATAATATATAACACAAAACAAAGTCCACTGCAGGGCTTTTCCGGGTTGCTGGGATCCAGGCTAGAAATTTCAAGTGATGAGCTGCAACAGCCTTCCCAAAGTCCACTGGATAGGTTTCAGTCTGTCGGAGACGTGGTCCGCCCGACCTGAGGCATCATCAGCATCCTTGGATAAAATCTAGACACCACACAGTGGAAAAATCCACCTAAGTCCCAGACACCTTGACCTTGCCGGTTTTCAAACATTTGCGCTTGCGCACAACTCCTTCTGACGAAAGGCGGAGCTTTGCTTTCATTGCTCTTGTCATTTTGACATACAAGCGCGGCAGCCAGGACCTGGAGCATCAAATATTGTGCACAAGCCAGAATGTATTTCTTTGCAGAAAGCACGGGTAAGTGCCAAGCGGGCTCCCTATCAGCATTGTCGGCTTCATGCAGAAATGTCCATAAAGGCCCGTAGAACTCAGCACACCAGGTCATAAACTTCCCCCCCCCTCGAAAAAATGTTTGAAGATTAAGACAACTCAGCTCTGGACAACCTGACAGTTTTGACGCCAATATGCTTATCCATGACTGCCTGCAAAAAGGCTAGATATGGAAAGTGGAGCAGCAGCGAGCTGCTAGGTTGCTCGATATAGAAGTGGACGCAGCGGGCCACGGCGATCAAACAAAGAAGCACTGTTCTGGTTGTGAGCCTTAGTTCCCACACACACACAATCAACATTTCCACATGTTAGATCGATAGAAACAGAAGACACACGCGCGAAATTGCAGCCAACCTACTCGTTTGCTTCCCGAACATATCGGCGGCGTGTCGAGCCAAAGATTCGAGATCGTGAGCGCTTCGAAGTCGCCCGGTTAACCCAAATCCAACTGCCACAGGGCAACCCTGCCGCAAATAGTCCTCCAGGAACCAGCCGCAAGAGCTTCAAGCAAGCCGTTACCAGGCCAGGCCTCAGCAAAGAAAGGTGAAATCACAGTAATGTATAATATAGGAAACATGTAAGGCTCCAACACCGTCAGGAGATCATCTCCAGGACGTGCACCCCTCTCAAAGTAGTCCCTCGAAGGAATTCGAAGCAAAAACATGAAAGCACACTTGCTGATGATGGATCTGCGAAGGTAGAAACGCTTTGTAGCCACGAGAACCTTTGCATGCAAAACAAATCCAAGCAAGACTTTGGGCAGCAAACTTTGAGCACCAGACTGAAGCCCAGCTGCACGGCACGTCTGCCGGCAAACATGTCCAGGCACATGAGGTCCTTGCAAGGATGGTAAAAATGCTTCCTAGTGGTTCACGACGTGAAGCAAAACACATTTTAGGCCCCTGCTCGAGCTTGGTTCAGACCTTCAGCATTCTGCGCGATATAGTCCAGCAGGTGCAACCTCAAAACCCCAATG